TTGATAATGACAATGATGATGATAATGATAATGATAATAATAATAACAGTAATAATAATAATGATGATAATAGTAATAGTAGTAGTAATGATAATAATTATAATGATTATAATAATAACAATAGTAATAATAATAATAATAATAATAATAATAATAATAATGGCTATGATAATATTGATAATATTGATACTAATGATGATAATGATAATGATCATAAAATCAGCAACAACAATAATGATAATGATAATGATGATAATAACATTTATAATGATAATGATAAAGATGATTAAAGGTGATAATGATTATAATTAAGATAATGATGAAGATAATGATAATTGATATTGATAATACTAACAATGATACTGATACTGATCATGATAAGTAATGATGATGGTAATAATGATAATGATAATAATGATAATAACAGCAGTAACACTACTACTACTAGTAATAATGCAGTGACATTAACTCAATAACAATAACAATTACGAAAATGATCGTGATGATGATGATGATAGTAATGATAATAAAGATGATAACAATAATAATCAATGATAATGATAATGATGATGAAACTACTACTTCTACTATTACTACGACATGAATGCTAATAACATTGACGGTAATAATGACAGTGATGATGATACTGACAATAATAATGACCATGAAAATAACAATAGGAAACATTATATTAATACTAATATCAATGACAATAATATTAATAACAATGACAACGATGGTAGTTGGCAAGACATAACAATAACAGTAATAATTTTAAAGTTAAGACAACAACAAGAACGTCAGCCATAATAATCATATATTAAGAGAGAATTACAATTACAATCACAAAAAACAATCATCATTAATAACAGCAATCCTCTATTAAAACCCCCGTGTCATGCGTGTTTAAGTTCATCCTCGTCTTCCAGCTCTTGGCTCCACCATGTGCGACGAGGACACGTGCCCGCTGGTCATCGACAATGGCTCCGGTATATGCAAGGCTGGCTTCGCCGGAGACGACGCCCCTCGCGCCGTCTTCCCCTCCATCGTCGGCCGCCCCCGCCACCAGGGTGTGATGGTCGGCATGGGTCAGAAGGACGCCTACGTCGGTGATGAGGCCCAGAGCAAGAGAGGTATCCTCACTCTCAAGTACCCCGTTGAGCATGGTATCATCACCAACTGGGACGACATGGAGAAGATCTGGCATCACACTTTCTACAACGAACTCCGTGTCGCTCCCGAAGAGTGTCCTATTCTCCTTACCGAAGCTCCTTTGAATCCTAAGGTTAACCGTGAGAAGATGACGCAGATCATGTTCGAAGTGTTCGCCGCCCCGGCCATGTACGTGGCCATCCAGGCTGTTCTCTCGCTGTACGCCTCTGGCCGTACCACTGGCATCGTGCTAGACTCGGGCGACGGCGTGTCTCACTGCGTACCAATCTTTGAAGGGTATGCGCTCCCCCATGCCATCCTCCGACTCGACCTTGCAGGACGCGACTTGACTGACTACCTGATGAAGATCATGACCGAGCGTGGCTACTCCTTCACCACGACTGCCGAGAGGGAGATCGTGCGCGACATCAAGGAGAAGCTCTGCTATGTTGCTCTAGATTTCGAGAACGAGATGGGCGTTGCCGGGGCTTCTTCCTCACTCGACAAGTCTTACGAGCTTCCCGACGGCCAGGTAGTGACCATCGGCAACGAACGCTTCCGCTGCCCCGAGGCACTCTTCCAGCCTTCCTTCCTTGGTATGGAATGCTCCGGACTCCACGAAACCGTTTACACCTCCATCATGAAGTGCGACGTCGACATCAGGAAGGAACTGTACGCCAACAACGTCCTGTCAGGAGGCACGACCATGTACCCCGGCATCTCTGACCGCATGCAGAAGGAAATCACGAACTTGGCTCCCTCCACGATCAAGATCAAGATCATCGCTCCGCCCGAGAGAAAATACTCCGTGTGGATCGGCGGCTCCATCCTCTCCTCTCTTTCCACCTTCCAGTCCATGTGGATCACCAAGGAGGAATACGACGAAAGCGGACCTGGCATTGTTCATCGGAAGTGCTTCTAGATTATGATGACTAGATATTATTTTTTGATCATGGGACTATAGATTTTTAATGTATTAATTAGATAGTAATTCTATGATGAGAGTTTTGAGATAAATATATTATATTCATAGAAATATTGGTCTTATTCCAAATTCTTTCCCATCCCATTGCATTTCAGTACCAAATTATGTTTCATTCGTACTTACGAGTATTACCATAGAGAATACTATCTCTGAGAAGTAAGATATAAATATATTTTGAATAAAGCAATTATCAACGAAAAGTCTCACATCTAAGAGCATATATTGTGTGTATATACATACGTACAAACAGACACACACACACGCGCGCGCGCACAAGTACACGTACACACATACACTCAGCTATACACACAGCACACACACTCACACACACACACATACACACACACACACATTTATACAAACATTCATGCACACACACACATATTTAAACAAGCATGCATGCATACACACACATATATGTTTGGCCCGTTGCATATATATATATATATATATATATATATATATATATATATATATATATATATATAACAACCTTCCTTGACTGGGTTTCGAACTAGGTCACTCCAGGTTTGAAACTTGAGGGCCAGTACTAAACCAACCATACCACGCGACTCACTAAATGGAGTGTGCAACTAAGTTCTTACTAGCTCCACAGACATAACGTATCTACTCATACACACTTCCCGTGGCCACTCGGTGGAAATTGATTTAGAAATTCGAAACCAAAGTCAGATGTACTAAGGTATATATATGAAGGATAGAAAAATGCAATGACATTGTCGGTTTAGTACAGGCCCTCCGGTCTCATACCCAGAGCGACCTAGACATTTCGGCAACATTTTATTCATTAATGCTAGAAAGAAGGACTAGGAATGGAAACATTTCTCGGCATTTTTCATATTGTATATTGGATACTGTGCATGCTATATAGAAATAGCGATACATAAAATGAGGGAGTTCGTTCATTTCGGGGAAGAGAATCGAGAGAGACTGTTATTTGTTATAGATATGATCATTTAACTTAGTGTTTAGGGGTTTATTCTTTCAGAGATTTTACCTTTCATATTGTGTGGACAGTATGCACAAATTATATATAGGCTTTTACGACTTACATAACAACTAAAACTAGCAAGACACACGAGGAGGGGTTATGCTAGTGTTATAAAAGCATGCGAGAAATATGAGTCTCTTACGCTCTTGATTTCGAGCGTGTTTTAAAGACCTTACTTATTAAAGACATTGGCATATATATAAGGAAAGACACAAATTATTCCACGCTGTAAATACCTAACCATTTTTCTTATTTGTTTGCTTATATTTCTTCAAGGTTAAGCACATGCAAAAAATATTTGTTTAAATAGTGTTGACACGATGTTTGAAGTAAGATTATCAAACTATGATAGACATTAACGTTTTATTCTAGTCTCTCTATGAAATTTATACACGAAATGCTCACGTATAGAAGATAATGCAATATTAAGAAATAATTCTGATCAATTGATCCTCAGCAGTGTTCAGTCAGAAGTATCTATTTCCAAGACACTATTCCCCATATTATTCGTCTTAGGTTAGGTAACTATTTAGGAAAAGAAAATCTCCCTACACCAAAATACACGCACTCAAGATAGAAATCGCCTCTGTGCTGTCAGGAAACTTGATGAGAACTGTTGTGTACACGTGCAATAGCCACATCCTATGTGTTTGTACCCTGCCATATGCATTTGCTGGACTGAAACAACGAATTTAACGCATCGTGAGCAAGGTAATGATATACTGTGAAGATACTCGGTGATGCAGAATATAAAGTATGTAAACAAACTGATGCTCAGGTATTTTTTTTCCTAAAAAGTGGGATATGAAATGCTGGTGGATTAGCCTTATATATTCATTCATAGATAATTTAGGCGGTTGGGCAATTTTCCTGAATCTGAGTAAAGTTTCTGACATGGGTGATGTTTATAAGAGACAAATAAACAAACAAAAAAAATCTCTACAATAACAATAGATAAACTACTTCAACAATAAAGTTACTCGGCATAACAGAAAAGCCGTGTCGTTAATCTGACAGCTGCTGGCCGCTGAGGTGACATATGACTTAAATAGTCAAAAACGCATTAATATCATTAGAATTATTATTATTATTATTTTTTATTATTTTACGGTGGCTTTTATAGAGCTCTTTTGGTCTGAAAGGAGCCAAAACTTAGACAATAATAAAAAAGAGGATTTATCTTTAAAGAGCTACGTTTTGATTAAAGATAACCACAATTTCTATTTCAGATATCCAAATAAATGCTTCCATAGGAAGATCTATAGTGTACATTACATACTCTATTATTTGTGCATGAACTTAAGGTACAGGCTAGCTCCGCGGTATAAAAAAATTACACATGCTGTTAATAAATACCATTCTATAAGTCGGCCTATCGTACTCATTACTGAAAGGTATTTTATTTGTTATGGGTATTTAAACAAAGATCATGTTATCACCCTTTTCATGGCGTATGGCTAATTACACCAATAAATTATATCCCTGCACCACCAAGTGCTAAGGAGTTTACAGAAAACTTCATAGCAATCATGACGTCTAAAGATCCAGTAACATTTACATCTAATTAGAGTGTTACATATGCTGTGCACTTCCTTTCAGTCTCTTTTTTTATCCCTTGATTACGCAAAGATACACGGAATGTCTGTGACTTGGCAACAACTAATTTCGTCAGCTTATCCGCGCCAGAGTACGTTGTGGGATACACTGTCGAAATATCAAGGAGGTGGTGAACTATTGTGTTTTCTTTTCCCAGGGCCCGGTTACTGAGGAAAGGAGCGTGCGTGTTGAAAAGGTTTAGTTTTATAACACTGTTTGTATTCCTTTTGGTAATGTGATAGTGTAGTTTGTGAG